CAGAGAGGAGATCGGAAAACGTGGATTGAGCTGCTCCAGACGCCCGCCCCTGCAATCAAGAACCCCCCGTGCGTGAAGCAGTGGCCAGGCCGGGCCCTGACCCCGCCGCCGGGCCTTCCGGCCCGGTCGCTCGCGCGCACTCCTCTTCTCGCCGCATGAATGGCCCGGGAGGGAGGGAGGGAGGGGGGCGGTCCCGTTACGCCGCGCCGCAGCGGCCGTCAATGGAGCAGGAGGCTGCTGCTGCTGCGGCGGCGGCGGCGCGGCCCGCTCGGCGCAGCGCGGTGTACCGGGCGAAGCGGCCTACATCGCGCCTAGCTACAGATGCGACGTCGATGTTGATGTTTTTAAAATATCGATGTTTTTGTAGAAACATCGATGTATTAACGCCGATGTTTTTTAACATCCATGTTGTTGTTTCTTTGATGTTTTGTTTCTGAATGAAAAATTCCCGTGAACACTATATTGTAAAAGTTAAAACATGAAATAACTGATGGTAACACTGTAGTTCATGTGTTGCAACCAAAGGAACGCAGTTTGTGCTACCTTCATCGACCAAACTCTCCCGCTCGGGATGACCTCCATGCCATTGTATTTCCTGTTTCTTCATATTCTTTTCGCACATTGAGATGTGGACAACAAATACGCTGTGGGCGTCGGGACTGCCTCTTTTTCTCGTACCCTTATACGACGAATTGATAAACAGGAACACACATATTAAAGTTTAATGCACGTGACTTTAATGTTAGAGGTTACTAAAGCAAACTCAAAACATCGATGTTGAGAAACATCAATGGTTTTTAGTCGATGCATTTTGAACATTGATGTTTTAATTTTGAACATCGATGTTTGGTAACATCGTTTTTTCATTATCGATGTCGCAGCCCACCGCTGACCCGTGCGGGCTACGACCTCTCCCGACCCGCTTTACTCGCAGCGTGCTGTACTGCACGGAGGCTCTGTTACACTACACCGCAAGCGTCATTCGCCGTAACGCAGGCTGCATTCAGCAAGCTAGATTCACATTCGAGAGTAATGAACGGCGTAGGAGTAATAGCAGTATATAACAAGAGAGGGGATAACTACGTTTCTGGGCCCCTCTGAACCTCTTTTTCCATTATATATTTTTTCTTTCTCGCCTTCGGATACTTAGTAAGAAGAGAGAGTTACATATTCGTGCGCTGGAAAACGGCGAATTTTCGGCAGAAAAATTCTTATTGCCGGGCCCTGGTACCGAAAAAGTGGATAAATCCTGTTTCTAAATATAGAAAAGAATCCTCTAACATGTCGTATAGCCTGAATCCATGCTTTGTGTGTCCTTTATACTAAAAATTCTACTGCCGGCAAACTGTTTGTCCGTCTATGGTTGACGCAAGCGCCTAAACCGTACAGCCGATTTTTTTTAATTTTCTCATGACATATTTTACTAGGAATTAAATAAAACATACTTCAAGAAGAATGAAATTACGACTTAAATGACAAAATTAATACAAGTGATTTTATGTTGGACAGTTCTCAGAGTTGCTTTGAGGTTTGGAAAACTTTTCCTCGTAATTACGTAAATCAATTCCCCGAATTGGCAGCTTAAAAAGGGGAAAATAAGAATTTTATCATATTTAATAAAATAAAATATTTTATTACGTGGGGGTAAACGGGACTCCTTTATTTTCAGGGGGCGAGGGCCTCCTTGCATCACACATAATTGTTGTGGTTCAAACATATTTGTTCTGTCGCACATGTCGCAGATGATTTACATTCATTTACTACAAAAGTGATCGCTTGCGATAGCACAGTGGCAACACCGTGGTCTCTGCAGTATCGTTAACCGGGAGGTCCTTGGCTACATTTCTGTTTATGGGGGTATTTTCGGCACTAGCGGCGTAGGTAGACCCAATCCGACTAGAGGATAATCCTAGCGACCGGCTGCTCTGATCGGTAGGTTCCCGTGGTTTCTCCCATTAATGAGAATACCGAATCAGTTCACTAACAAACGCACCATGGACCACACGTGATCTTTCCTTCCTCATCCTTGTTCCATCGTCTTCTCTTACACATACACACGCGCACACACAAACACACTTACTCTTACATGCACTGAGCACATACACTACACACGTCGAGAGTTTACAACTGGACTGGGAGATATACCTGGAGGGGAGGAAATATGCTACCTGGCGTGTATATCGATATCGAATCACAAGTTCCATCAGAAAAGAACCTCTCAGAATAACATGGTATTTTTTGTCTTACCAAATTTGCCAGTGAAGAGATCAAAAGGGTGATGATCATATTTTCTTCTTGCTGACTTTATTAGAAAAAATATAAAACGGTTTCTTCCGTCAATTCAATTCTTTATACGACGGTACATGGCAACTTTAATTTCAAACTACATTCCTTCAGTCGTGTTGAATCACCACTACATGATACATTAAGTGAACCCTCTATTTTGCCCAAAATAGTAATAAAACAAAATAAAGAAGAAGGAATAACATCTCAGTCTTGGAGAAGTAGAAAAAAGTATATTTGGATTTCTATTATCTAGTATATTTTCATTATTTTTCATAGATCTGAAAGAAGTGACAGTCAGAAATGCACAACATTTTCAACTAGTGGAACTCACCCTCCTGCAATTGACCCTACTTTCTGTACACTTTCCCTGACTGGCACTGAAGATTTTGTGTTAGCTCTAAGCATCTTTAAACTATATGCGTTACTAGATTTCGAATATTGCAAATTTGGGGAAAATTGTATAAATGAAATTAAATTTAGATCGCTCTGAAAAAATAAAGATTATAATTACATTGTATTTTGAGTGTCATTGTTCTGCATTGAAGAGCTGTACAACTCTGTTTCGCCCAAGACATTCAAAAGAATTGTATTAAAACTTGAATCAAAGCGTAATGAAAGTATAAAATAATTGATTTGGGTATAACCAATATTAGAGTCGAACTCCTACAAGAGAATCGCACTTACGCAATTAAACATTCCAGCATGATCCTGAAAATTTTACTTAGGGGGTAGGTAATGATGTTTTGTTCTCCTTGAGTTAAAAACACATTATTTTATATAAAATTTTAAAAAAGTGGTTTTATAATGGATGGATATTGCATTCCATTAATACCCTTAATTCCCCTAATATTTCTTCATGAATTCATAAAAGTACTATTTTAAGGGATGAAAAATGTGAAAAGTAGTGATGAACGAGACTTATTAAAAGTCTTACGAGAGAAGTTTTAAGTAAGTCTACTTGACGTAATAATTTGTGTTTCGGGCCTTATTTTAATAATGCATGAAATTATCTTTATCACTATTTACCTTTATTGAATTACCTTTTGATATTACATCTGTACTTTTTTAAGTTAATGTGTTGTGATAAAACTTACTTATTTACCTCGCGGAGATGAAAAACTGGAAATAGGTAATGATAATTATGATAACCCTGAAAGCACGTAAGGATATTCTAGCGCAGATCTAGTTAAGTGCAGTACGCTGTTCACTTGTCTTACAAAGCAGCACCGCAGCACAGGGTATGCAAACTTTAACTATTTTGCTATTCTGACAGCAGACCGTGTTCTCTTGCTTCTGTAATTGTTTGGTGTTGTGTTAGTGTTCTGCTTTTTCAACATGTGAAATTCGCCTAAAAATGAGCCCAAAAAATTCTGCGGCGCTGTTGCAGCTGAGTGTTCGGCTCGAGAAAGCGGGCACGATTTCACAGACTTCGAAGGTAATAATATGCCTTCGGGTTTTGATTGGTTGACGTGGCGGTCTTACCAAAAAAGTCTCACAGAATGTGACTTGAAGACATGGCGATCTTATCGAATCTTTGGAATGAAAATTGTCCCAAAAGATCTCATTTCAGTTTATAACAATGATAGAAGATAGGGGAGTTACCCTCTGAAAATATTGAAAAGCGCAATTAAGGATGTAATTTCAAGATGTTGAATACATCTTCAATCCCCATACAATACTACTTTTTATACATTTTGCGCTGATGTTGGACCTGCGTGTGTAAGCAGCTACATCGCTTTTAACAAGATATGCGCTAGAATAACAACATAAAATACATTTGTCGTTAGTTGTTTTAAGTTTGTCAATGTATGTTGTTTTCTCTGTGGACTAACAATCACCTTCTAAATATTTCTATGTATAATATCTGTTCCTCTCTGGTATCTGAAAATGTATGGTCAGAGCCAGGGGCGGCCAGAACGGGGGGTGGGGGTAGCCGGAACAATTTGTTTCAGGCCCCGATTTAATGGGGGACCCAATTTTTTGTTATTTTCTTTTTCATTAAAAAATTGAAAAATGTATTCATCTTTAATCCAAATGTTTCACTATAAGTCATTTCTGATGCATGGAGAAATAAATTCTGTTTATGAAACGCGGAGGAGGGAATTTTTTGTTCGAAATGAGAGGTCCCCATGGATCAACTGCCCCCAAGCCCCTAGTTTTCTCTGGGCGCCCTTGGTCAGAGGACATTCTCTTGTGTGTGTTCTCTCTTACCTGAGTGTAGCGTTGTGTGTGTAGTACGGCAGCGCAAGTGCAGAGGGCGAGGAGGAACCGGGGGGCAGCGCCGAGCCACCCGCGCTCACCTGCCACAAGCATGAATCTACAGGGGTAAGCTGAACGACAGACCCGTCGCTTTCCACGGCCTCAGGCTACTGTACTTCTCCCTGAGCTGTTGGAGAGTTTACACGCCTTTCTGCATCGCACGATCATTGCACTTGAGAGTTAAAATCATTAGTAACTCCACTAAGATCTTTCCTTACGATATTTTTTCTTTGCGTGGAACTGCAATGAACTTTAATGACAAGTCCAAAGTATGTTTTATGCAGTTGGAGAATATCTCTTTAGGGATAATTATAGGCTTATTGCTACTAGCTATAGGGTGGTTTTACCGTTTGGCACGACCAAATGACTTAATATATACGATAAAATTAGATTTTGCTTTTGAAGTAAAGAGATTAATAAAACATCTTCTTTTGAACTCAATACATAACCAATATTTATTTAATCAATGTTAAATTGATTGTAGTGCGTTCATGTTACTTCCTGTAGCCCTCTAAATACAATGCATTATTATTTTGAGAACACATATCTGCATTACTTTTAAAATTGAAGGACTCATATTGAAAACCACAAAGGACAATTTTTCATAGTCTGTTTTCAATTAATTATTTTCACATATGATAATAGCAAATGATTGATATGACAATCTTACCATGTTCATAATAATTAGTTCTTATCTATTGATTTATGTATATTTGTTTTTCAACATAAAATGATTCACCTCCCTCTTGAAAAAGGTGTATTTTGGTAATTTTCAAATTTTCATTGTCATCTCTTCAAAGAGGCTTATATAATCATTTTACAGTAAGGGTATCACATTTCCCACCTAAACCTCATGATTGAATATTGCAACATATTTTTATGAGCAACAAAATAGTTAAATGATGGTCATTTGATGTCATTGTAGAAAATGCTACTTTTTATGCTTTTCATTAATGTATTTTTATTCATTTAACATCAAATACAGTAAAATTTGAACGAGTTGTCAAGGGGGAGAAGCAGCAGGGTAATAATTATTGAGTCTTATTGTGAAGAGGAAATAATATTTAGCCCGTAAATAGTTACGTGGGTAATTATTAGATTAGGAACTTTATAAGAAGGATTAAGAAAATCTTTTAGTGTTCACAAGAGTATGTGTAAACCAAAGGGAATACAAAAACACAGCATGGGCAGTTCGAATTAAAAACGTGAAAATTTATAAAAACAATTGTTTTGAATTAGTAGAATAGTTAACATAATAGTGAAATCTTAATGAGATTCAAAATATTGAAGACGTCAACTGCTCATCTTTGCTTGTTGCAATTTTGCAGATGATTTTTTATAGGTAAGAAGCTACATTTTTTGAACATTTATGAACTTTTACATAAAAAAATGTTTAAAACTAAAACTAATTTTTATATTGTGTTTCATTTACATGAGTATATTCATCTATGCATGAAACTAAAGAAAAATAAGCAATTTATTGTACTAATTGTCTAATACAATCCAGCTAATTACATTTCTACATCAAGGATGAAATTTTGAAAATTAAAAGATGAGGGAACCTTTTTCCCATACCTACTTGTCATTAAACAAATACATTATTTGGAGTTCCATTTATAAATTGTAACAATGCCGATTAATTAATTTTCTAGTCAGTAATATTTTACTCTATTTAGTTTCCCTCTCTGTTTAAGAATGCTAAAGTTTGGTTTTTCTTCTACTAATTTTCCTTTAATATTTCATTAACTAAGATTCTACCACAACAAATACTTTTACATTGCATGAAGAAGCTACTGTTTCATTCAAACATCTCTAAGTAACACTTTTTCTTTTCATTTAAAAAGGAAACTAAAAAAAAGAACTAAAATCTATTGCCTTGCTATCCAGGTAGTATCAATGGTTTAAGAATAATAATTATGCCATGATAGCATCTAATAATTTCAAGCATATAAAATTTAATGGTAATTTTTAAGGACTTTGAATATTTGAGTTGTGTTTTACAGTAAGTACATACTACCTTTTCGTTTTTGCATGAAGGTGTATTATTTACTAATCCATTTTGCATGAAGCATGTAAAACAAATGTAATTTAATTTTGTTAGTATCTTTGGTGTTAAATCAAGTTTAAATTGACACACCTTTTCCATACACTCAATATTTATTTATAGTAGGCCTAAGTAACCGACCCCTATTTGTTCATGATGATAAAATGCAAGGAACCATTTGATCATTTCAATTTCACGGTAATCATGAAATAATGTTGTATGTTTTTGGATAGCTGATAGCTGTCATATGAGATTGGATAGGTAATCTGAGTAATACGAAAGTAATGCTAATAAATAATTTCTCATCAAAAGACTTAAGTTTTACAATTTTCATATAAATAATATATTACTTTGTGATGCAGTATGATTTGTATTGTAAATCTCATATTATAAAAAAAGTATTGTAATAGTGATACATTGTGTATCACACATATGTAAATAAAAATTAATATATTGGTAAGAGAAATTCAGTACAAAACATGCCTTCTCTAAATTCCATTAATATGACATTGAAAGTAGAAGTTCCAGGCCTCATTATTTTTTGCTTACTTTTCAGTGTTCTGCTCACCACAACAAACATTTTCAAAATGAACATCACAAACATCAGCTTCATCACCACCATCACAGTGGCAGTAGTTCAGAACGGAGGCTCAAGAATACTTTTGGATGGGCTCGCATTGATGTATTGGTGATGTTAATTGGTTGTGTATTTCTTACATCACTCTGTTTTTCTCTAATTGTGGAAGCTCTCCAAACTCTCATACACATTGAACATCATGATGCTATGCATCACCCTATACCAGTCCTTGTACTGGGCTGTGTTGGATTGCTTATCAATGGCTTATGCTATCTCTTTATAGGAGGTAAGGATATATGGTAAAGGGATTTGCTTAATTCTAGATTCGTAAATAATGTAGCTCAAAATAAAGAGTAAATATCCAAGGGTATAGGCCTATACCCTTGGATATTTACTCTTTATTTTGACCTAATGGCTTCTCTTCTTTGGTTCTTTAAAAGACTGACAAAATGTTTGGAGACACAGACAGACATAGACAGACAGACAGACATAGGCAGACAGACAGAGACAGACAGTACGACAGACCCCTCTTAAACTAGGACTATCATCATTTAGTACAAAGTCAAATATGTCTCCATTTTGAACTATTTAATTGCAAGTTCATTAGGCAAAAAGTATTTTTGCTCTTCACGTTTTTGCATAATGGTGAGTTAGCAGCTGGCACTACCACAATGGGTTATCACAAAAACAAATAACCGTTAAAAATTTGCCAAAGGGTCACCATAAAACTAAATAGCCGCTAAAAAATTGCCAAAGGGTCCTGTTGCGTTATGATATTCTTGGTATGTAAACAACTTCTTGATATTCATGGTATGTAAACAACTGTTGTAATGTTTATCCGAATATTCAATATTAAACAATTTAGCTCTCGGCCAGTCCGCGTATTTCATTTAAATCTGCCGCAGTCAGCCGGGGAGTGGGCAGAGGCGCGGTGGTCTGGCACGCTGGCGGCCCGGCCCGGCGGCACACTGCGTGACGTCAGCCTACCGGCCGGCAGGCGCGCCTGACAGTCACAATTAATACTCAGGTGGTTGAAGAGCAATTAAATTAATTATTTAGCAATTACATCGCTCTACAATATGGCATATTTGGCTTTGTGGCAACACATTGTAGTAGTGCCATCTTAAATCTTAAGTTTACCATTAATTACTCGGAAGTTTGAAGAGCAAATTAATTGGTTTTGGGGTAATTCATTAGCAATTGTATCGCTCTTCAAGATGGCATATTTGGTTTCGGGGTAACCCACTGTGATAGTGCCAGCTCAAGAGAGGTGACAGAGACTGACGGTGGGCAGGCGGACAGAGGGAGGGAGACGGAAAACGATGTAGCAATATATATATATATATATATATATATATATATATATATATATATATATATATATATATTAGTGATTATATATTATTATATAATTATATTCAGTGTGCTTAGAAAATAACCTAAGTTTAATTTCCTACTTTAAAAAATATTTTTAGGACATGAATTTAACAGAATCTTCAACCTGATTGATCTCGAAACACGTTCTTTTAATATATGAGTTTCACTTGCATGCTGATAAAATGATATTTTTAATTAAAAAACATACTCATTAGAAAGTAATTAGACATGCTATCATTTAATTAGTAAACAAAATCAATTGACGAACCTAAGACAAATTAATGCATTTTCTTTGATTTTGAGTAGAGTTTGGATCATTTGTATGCATATTTTCAGGTGTTAAAGAGTTCGCATACTATGTACTATGTATATATATATATATATATATATATATATATATATATATATATATATAACGTATAACAAGTGCAAATATGAACAAGTACGTTGTAAAAAGATAACGAAATTTGTATTCCACTCCTCTTCGAGATATTTACAGAAAATATCAAAATATATTATCATTGGTATCTTTTGAAAACTAATTCCAGGTTATACATTTCATCAAGCCAGTTTCCTCCATGTGACACCTGATGGAGAAGTAGTCTTGGATCACGTAATGAATCAAGACTCTGTGCGTAAAGGTCAACGCCGCCTTTCAGCTCAAACAAGACGACCTCCTCCTCCGCCTCAGTATACTCTTAGGCAAGGACCAAGAGAAATGTGTCGAGATATTGTCGGTAAGAATCAAGTAAATAGTCATAGTTCCTTCAAACTTTTTACAAATCTATTATTTAGTACATAAAAATCAGTTCTACTAAAGACCTCAAAAAATGGTTGTGAGTTTCAATAATTATATTTCCAAAGTTTAGTTCAAGAAGTGGTTATATGTAATGTAGTTAATCAAAACCTTAGACTATCCCGTTAACACCACTCCAATTTTCACTGCCAAAGAGGCATTTTGCTTCCTTAGCTTACTAACGTAGTAAAGAAGATGCTGCAGCGGAAAGAAAAGATTTTTCGTCATTATAACTATTATTATGGAGTCCTGAAATCGAAATAAGGGGTATATCGTGTTCCTATTTAAAGAAAATTACTACTTCTAACATCTTGCATTGTCAGAATCCGTTTTGGGTGTCCTTGATTTCGAAAAATTGGTTATCAACAAAACGTCTGTTCGTCCATCTGTAATCACCACTAGCGCCTAAACCATTGAGACGATTTTCTTCAAATTTGATTGATCGATCGATCGATCGACCTGGTCGAAGATCGAAGATCGACCTGGCCCCAAGAATTTGAAGCGGATATTTTGATTTTTTGGCAGTACATTCCTTTAAGATATTTTCAAAAATGTCTCAAAAAGGCTGCAATTTTTTGTTGTTTTTTTCCCTCGGATGGAACAAATAACTTAAAATATTGTACAAATCTGTGCAATAAGATGTCATTTCATGAACGATTTTTGAACACAAAATAAAACGATTTTGTCCAAAAACGTCACAAAGTATACTGTTTATACTGTACAAATAGTCTGGGCGATTTATTACTTCTCACTCTATAGAACGAGTTGCTAGAAGCATTCAAAATTCGATTCCAGTTTGAATCTAATTTCACTTTTAAAACAATGATTTACAAAATGCAGAATCTTCGCGTAGGTCCAGCTAATATTTATTAATTTTAAAGTATCATAACACCATTGAAACATTGATAAAATATATGTTTATGTTTCAGGTTGTCTTTATGTCATAGTATGTGCACTTATTGTATACCTCATAGACAAGGAATATGCCAAATATATTGATCCAATCTTATCAATAGTGTCAGCAATTACTCTGCTTGTATTAAGCTATCCATACAGTAAGTAATCAAGAAATATTTCCAAAGGCTAAGTGCATGTAAATGTGTATCATGTGTGTTATGTGTAAGAGCATGAAAGTATAAAGTTTAAGTGAGTGAATGGAGAAGTAAATGCATGTGTCTCTGTGCGTGGTTTTAATGGACATTGGGACTAAACAATATTTATAAACGCACTTTTCTCTACTACAGCAAAACATTTTAACAAAAAATATGCATCCAGTTATCAGAATTTTTGTGAAAACGCAGGGGATTCATGTTAAGTACACTTAAAGATTAAATACGATTAATGAACCTCGGTACGACAAACTTGATCTTACTTATGACGTATTTATTAAGATTGAGCAACAAAACTTCTAATTTGACCGACTTACGCGAGACACGTACTTCTATCCATAAAGTATACATACGTACATACTATTTTGTGCGCATCCTTTTGGCCTTGGTTACAACAGCGAGTCTTGATGATATTGAATGCACGAGCAATCTTGTCTGAGCACGAAAAATTCTGTTCCAGTTCTTCACCATTGTTCTCAATGCTGCCTGGGTATTTGGTCGATGTTCCAAGACCCTCTAGTTTCCACCACAGATTCTATATTGGATGACGATTAGATTGTGGGGAATAGTTGTTACAAATGCCAGGCCCGCATTTACATACAAGAAAAACAAGCACGTGCTTGAGGGCCGTAGGGTTGACCTTTCAGTTTAGTTTTGTTTTGTTTCAAGCCGAGAACCCATCTCTAGAGAAGTCGCCAAATCTTAGTTACATAGAGGCTGGCAGAAAAAAAAACGTTTGTTTGTGCGAAACCGTCCCAAATCATTTAGGGAAAGTTTCTTTTCCCCATCTGACACTTTTTTGTTTGTTTGTTTTTATTTTGAGCGGGTGGTTTTACCAATGTGATCTGCTTGGGGGGCCCGCAGACCGTAAATCCGGCCCTGGAGCCACCAATTATACCATCACCTTACGTGTGCCGTACCCTAGTACCATAGCAGTCCTGTTAAAATCCGCAGAACGATTCCAACCATAAATGTTGTGCACAAGTTTTACTTTCTCGTATTGCCTACGTACGTATATATGGATGAATATACCTAGTATAAAGTTATGTAAAGCTGCAGAAAATCGGTTTCAAGATTTTAATAGAAATACGAATTTTGGAGTTCCCTGATACCGAAGTAGTTACTTATGTCACAAGTTATCTAAATTATTCTTTATGGATGAGGCCGGAAGGTTAACTGCTACATACAATGTTGTTGTTTTTTTATTTCTAGTATATCACTTATTCAAAATAAATATTTAACACTTTCATGACTTAATAATTGCTATTATTCTCGATCTAGAGGGTTGTTAGTACAGAGTCTTAATACAGCATTTACTTTTGAGCAATGTAATGGCAAGGGATCAGCTAATAATAATAATAAATAATAGTTCAATATTCAGATTTACTATAATGAGAAATTATAAGTTAAAAAATACTATAATTGAACAGTTGAAAATTACTTTTGTAGGTGTAATTTATTTTGTGTGTATGAATATTATATATGTTGTTATCTACTTTCGATGATTAATAAATAGTTTGAAGATCCCTTGGTTACTTAACGGCCTGCGGCCATTAAGATTACTTTTTCATTCGTCTGTGGGGTTGCATTATGCATATATATTTACGAAAATTTTTACGAACAACTATTTTTAATAGACTCTTAGGTATTTTAACGGCCAATGTATGGAGGCGCTCTTAATTCGTTGTCTAGATGGTTGGTTTTTAAGGACATAAACGCATGTTTTTCGACGCAAGTAACAGAAAGTTTGTTGTTGTTTTTTCTTTACCAAAATGCTCCAGTCTGTCGGTCCGTCTCTCACATTATCCTGTTCCCACCCCCTTTCATTATGTTAATTATTTTTAGAAGAATTTTCTTTCACTGCTCATATCTAATGTTATCCGTTACGGACCACAGTTCGGCTTGGCCAAGAGTGTTTGTTTTTTACAAAACGACCATGCTTTAAAATCATATTTTGTTGAGCAAGTAGTGAATAAATTTTTATAAAGTATTTGTGCTACAGAACACAGAGACTTTCCCGCATTAGGTGTTTCTTAATCTCTTTAGTTTGGGATAGCTTTTCGGTTTTGCCCCACCCTCTCCCAAGCTGCTACCTAGCGTATTATCAGGGCCGGATTAACAAAACACGGGGCCCCTGGGCTAACAGAATAGGGTAGTAGGTGAAAAAAATGTACACTTACTAAATGTTTGCATCAAAGCGTTTATATTACTTATAAATATAATAATCTACGCAATCTGAATTTTCCACACTTTTTCTTGAACCACTTTTTCAATGATATCCTTGAAATTAATTTTTGTTGGGGCCCCTGGGCTAAAACTCCCGTAACCCCACCTTAAATACGGTCCTGAATTAGTTCCAGGATTGGAGATGTAATCCAGTTTCCCTAACAAGCATTAGGAGCATAAAGATACCACAGTTGAATTAGAACTAACTTAAGTTTTTTTATATACTATGTATTTCAATTGTAGAGAATTAAATCAAGGTGTTGACAATAATTTATGTCATTAAACGTTGGCAGCAACCAACAAACTTCTAAAATAATTAAATTGAGATTTTAATGAAAATTTATGGAATTCGTAAAAAATATTTGCTAATGTTTTCTTTCATTTTCAGTGCGTGAATCTGGAAGCATTCTACTGCAAACAATACCAGACACTATAAACATCAACTCACTTCGAAAAGATTTGTTAAAAGCATTTCCTGATATATTAAATGTTCATGATCTTCATGTGTGGCGTTTGACTGCTTCAAAAGTTTTTTCAACAGCTCATATAATCTTCCTAAATAACAAGGTAAGCAAATTGCAATTATTAATTTCAAATACTCCACGCAAAATACTATTTTTGCTGAAAGTAGATGTTTGGTTTAAGGACTGCAAATTTCATTAGTTGCTATTCTGCTGCCTGCACTTTTGCCATTGACCACCTAGCGCTATCTGGTACCCAACCCTTTAAAATCTATGCGCAACAATTGCCAAGTGTGCAATGTATCTTGTAGATAAATTAGACACACATTATAATAGGTGTGAATCCACGGGGGAGGGGATGACGACCTCCCCCCCGTCGAAAATATTTCAAGAACAAAAAATTTTAAACTGTCACGAAACTTTCGAGCAAAAATATTTTCGAATAATCATTAAAACGAATAAAATCTTATATCAACATGAGCTGAGTATATCCTGCGTTATTCTACATAATCTGTAATGCAACACATTCATCCAAAACATTTTGAATACAAAACTATCTTAATTTACCGGTCACACTAGACTCACAGTCGGGCATTTACGAGTGTATAACATTCCTAGAATAGGGAAATATAACTAGGGGTGGAGTTTGACGACCTAAAACATAATGAAAAATGATCAGTAAATTACTTTTAAAAGGTTTTAAAAATACCCTAACAGCAAAGAAAAATGCCGTATTTTTTATCACAACAAATTCAGATGCGTAACTCAAGCTGTTAAATATGTTACCCATGCAATAGCAGTGGCGGATCGACGAAGCCATGCCCCCCCAGCCCCCCACTCACACACACACACACACACACACACACACACAAAGGTCTAGAGAAAAAAAATTAATATGGAAAAAGTGCAGGAGAAATAAAACTGAGAAACAAGAAAAAAATAGTAGAAAGTACCCGCGTGTTCTGTCCTTAGCCTTTTAATTACGAATGGTCCACGTTTGGAGTGTGGCCAATGCAACCGGAAACTGTTGACGGAGGAAGGTCTCACTCTAGGTGCCAAGTGAGAGATCGTAAGCCGTTATGACATTTCGCGCAATTACAGTGGGCCCGAAACAAAAGATCTTGGATCGCTTACATGCGCCCAACGAGCTTGAACATTCTATAGTATATTCTAGCTCGTTGCATGCGTCTCGAGACTGCGCGATAATAAGAGAAAGAAAATATCAAAATAAAAAGAAGAAAAGAGAAAGAAATCTAATAATAAGAAAAAAGTAGAAGAGGCTTGAGACATATTTTGTGACATCCTGTCGACTTTCTTCAGTCCTGGACATTTGTATCGTAGAATGAAAAATATAATACCCCTAATCCTCCGTCAATTTGTAGCTTTGAATTCAACAATTGTAATAACAAATTTAAAACTATAGAGTATTCATTACATATAAACTTCATATTTCAATTTTGCTAAAAGCATTTTATGATAAATAATTTACCTTGTTTATAATTTATATATCTGTGTGTGTATGTGTCTCTCTCCCACTCTTTTTCACTGTTTCTCTCCCACTCTCTCTGCCTCTCTCACTCTGACTCTCTCCCTCTCTTTCTGTCTCGCTCTCTCTCGCTCTGTCTCTCTCCCTCTCTCTCTCTCCCTCTCTCTCTCTCCCCCTCTCTCTCTCTCCCCCCCCCTCTCTCTCTCTCTCTCTCTGCATCTCTCTCTGCATCTCTCCGTCTTTCTTCGTCTGTCTTTGACTCGTGACGTCGTGACTTTCGTCGTTCTGTCTTTGACTCACGCACGCCCGTCCGATTCTTCCAGGCCTCGCCCTGCGTCACACGGCAACAGCCAGTAAACGAAGTTCGGGTGGAGCGCAGTTTGAATGAAAATTGAATTAAAATGAATCGACATTTTGTTCTGTAGCCATCTAGTGGAGTTACAACAAAATTAAAAGCACATTAACTTTCTGGGTGAAAAATCACGTAAATGTGCCAGCTTTCATGGAGACCGACCACACGGTCTCGGAGTTAAACGCGTTTATATATAACTACATCCACTCGTCTCTGGATCTGCCCATGTAGGATATAAGACATAATAAGAATTGATTTGTGAGCAAAACATATTCTATGTGTTGATATTAAAACATTCATAAAAACATGTTTATTATTTACAGTAATAAGTTATTATTAAGTTACACTTACAAGAAAAATAAAAATAAAGGAAAACCCAAGTAATGTACATCACAAAACAAATTTTATTTTCAAGAAACCAATGGCATTAACATTGTGCATTTCATTCACAATATTGTCTGCACTGCATATGTGTGTCTACAAATTTCGTATGAACATAACTTCTCTCTTTTCACAGTGAACTGATGCTTTATCATATTTTTAATGCTTAATTTGTATTACTTTTACAGGACTATTCAAGAATAACAAAAGAAATAACTGACTTTTTCCATAATCAGGGAATTACTCAAGTAACTATTCAACCAGAATTTTTTCAGGTAGTGATAAAACACTTTACTCCTATTCTTAAAATCACTTCAAGTAGTTCAAAGTGTGGGCTAATGACAAAATTATAATATTGTAACATAAATTTGACTTAAACAATACTGTAATTTTATAATAATTTTAGTAATACAACATAATTTGTATTTCAGGCTGAAAATGCAAATGGTATTGTGGCTTTACCAAATATTCATGATGACCAGTGTCTTGTTCCTTGCCTTGGAGATGGTTGTTATATTTTACATTGCTGTGCCAACAATGGTTACAAATTGACATCTGTGACGGTTTCATCGACAGATCAACCGAAACATAATAAGGTCAGAAAGTTTGAATGAACAAGAATTTCTATTTTCTCCAAATATCCCAATAACCTTGTACATTTCAAGACCAAATTTTTATGTAAGCATTTCTGAAGATTTCAGACCATGAGGGTCCAAGTAAAATAAATTTAATGAACTGGCAAAACATACTAACTCTTAAAGTTTAATTGGAAGTGGACACCATATTTTTAATATGTGCATTAACCCTTTGAGATGACAATTTATCATTAATCAGTTTCAAAATTTTTAAGTTTTAACCCAAATTAATTTTGCAAAAACCTACTTTCTCAAAAGTTCAAACATACTTTTTCTAGGGCTTGAACTAGCACGCCTATTACATAACACACTAACCAACATATTAATCAATTAAAAAATTATTCATTCATTAAATGAAAAAAATTAATTCTGCTTTGTAACATTAAACATATAATTTATTATGCATATATTACAGATGAACACATGCACAGTCATGCACACAGCAACAGCCACCCCCTCACCTACACTCACATCCACACCAACCCATGTGCTCACATGCCCAAGCTGCTTAACTCCCACCCCCTTACATATAGTTTATGCATTGAGCCTGCATACAATTATAGGCAGGTGAAAGTATGATTTTAAAAGTAGCAAAATAAATTATAGAACTCATTTGAAAGTATTACATATTTTCATGCTAAATTGATGTTCAAATGTTTCATATTTATTTGTTAACTTCATAATCTTTTTAACTTCCAGAATGATAAAATGGGTGACATGAAAAGAACTAAAGACCAACCAACAATGAAAATTCAAAAACCCAATCATTTGCAACCAATTCAAGATTCTCAAAAAATCAGTAAAAGCAATTATGATAGTGAAAACAATGAAAATGAATCTCAAAGAATGAATAACGCAACAGCAGAAATAAATACAACAAACCTCTCCAACATTTTGGATACTTCTGCAGAAAATCCTTCCAGCCATCACTATTCCAGATCATGTGAGAATACAAATGCAACATGTACATATAATTCAAATTCTCCAGGAGAAGAACGGCAACAATCAGAATCACCCAGTCTGTCACCTACAGAATCAAACAAAACAGAAGAATCTGGGGAAACTGGCACCTCAGAAATCAAGGAGGCTCAAGTTTTAAACAGTGCGGAAGTGCATACAGGAAAGGATCAAAACTCTTCACAAAATCATTGTGCAGGCAATAGTTATTCTGCAGAGAAACAAACAGAAACCAAAGAGATAACAAAAAATATTTCTTTGCCAGACTCTAGTGAGGACAGTGAAACTGAGATAAAGGACAAATCAGTGAAGGAAGAATTGAAATAGAAATTTGTATAATGATTGCAGAAAACTTCAGACAATTATCCAAGTTAAACATTAAAAGCAACAACATGCAACATTATAATCGGTTAACGCTTGAATGTTTCCTCTTATGCTTTGCCGCGAAAAGTTGCGAGTGAATTGCAAGTCCATTGCAAGGTAAAAGAAAGATTAGTAACTGGCCAAGCTTGCCTTATGTGCATCATTAATCCATCGATGTATGTGGAGAGATATAATGTGTATAGTTTATGAACATATTTTCTTAATGTTATTCATCATGGCACAACTGTTCCATTGAACACTGTCTACATACATACATACATACATACATACATACATACATACAACACATATACACACACATACATGCATACAGACATACATACAAATCATTAGAACTGAATTGCTTAAATGTACCTGATTTCATACAAAATACTACCAACTTTATATCATGAAGTGTATTGTATATATTTTGTATTATATTTCAAGCACTATTAAAGTTTTCAAAAATACAAACATGAAATTATTTGTTAAATAAATAAAAAATATAATACCCAACATACTTCTTTACACCTGTTTTTGAAGAAAGCTTTAGGTACTAGTGTGTTCCATTGATTTCCCATTTTAACTTGGAATGCCTTAATTATTCACTATTTTTTCTTTGTGATTATCACGTAAAATTAGTATCTTGGTGGTAAAGTATGATTGAAGATTTAATACAACAAAAATGTAAGCAAATAATTATGAAAAATAAGTAATTGAAGGCACACAAGTAAAAACAGATTAACCAACAAATTTATAAAAATTGACTAATAGGCTGTCATCTACTGTGAAGAATGCAAACTATCTTGTGCAAAGTGGGCTATCATACAGAAAGAACGATGTATGAAAACACAGAGTTTTGAACTTCCTGTGATTTTCAAAGCAACTGGGGAGTTATAACAAAATCAGGCTAACTGAAATCTCTCATGATGATGCTGTGGTCTTGCTAGGCCAGTAAACAACACCATATGCAATATCAGTTCTTCTGTCAAAAGTAATTGCATTTGTTCTAACATTCTGTTTTGAATTTCTTTCAACTTTATCTCTAACTTAGGCTAATGACGTGTTGGTAAATCAATCCGCTTCTCAAGGGGATTCAAAATGTGCTCTTTCTCAAAAGATATGTTTTACGTAATTTCATAAAAGTACATTCCTGAAAGAATGGGTTGAAAAAACAACTTTTCACATAATCTTTTGCAAAAATCAACAACTTTTCACATAATTATTATCATAATGCCATGAGCTAGGAGGATAAAATAATACATTCAAAAACAATGTTATGTTGAGATATTATGTTTTATATTTCAATTTACTTATTGGAATACAGAGGGAATTATACATCATTAAACCCTAGAGATTTTATTACATTATTTTTCTTCATCAATAACACAGCATTTTTTATATTTTGAGCATTACTGGCTCCAATGGATAACCAAATTAACTTTCCTGAAAGCTTCAAAATCTTATCTTTTTAATGAGATAAATTTAAAATCTTTTCTACAAGGTTCTTGTCTGTAAAAGATTGTTTAAAACCTCTATTTTAGGATATTTTTGTGAAAATCAACAATAAACTTAATTTGGAAAGTAATGGCAAGAGCTAGGAAGTTGAAATCATTAATGCTATGAAGTTGATATATTATGAACCAGGATTCATATCACTTAATTGAATATTAATGAAGCTACTCAATGTATTAGTTAAAAATTTATTTTAAACACTTGATTTTTTCAGCAACTTCACTGCAATTTACCCTCTGTGTATTAATAAATACAAAATTGATATTTGTTCCATTTCTCTAAGAGCAGAAAAAGTTGTACAGTAACCTCAACTTAGTTTATTTTTCAATAACAAAGAAGGAAATGTTTTTCAAAGTTGCAAAAATCTTGAACTGTACAATGTTCTGTATTTTTGTAAGGTACAATGATGCTGCAAGGAGTCAAACAAATTGCTGTATCTCAAAACTATTTTAACCATAAAGGAACTACAATTCTGTAAAAGATCTTTTCAGAGATTTGGGACTTGGCAAACAAAATTTCATCAAAATATAGGATGATTGCCTGAGAAGCCCTAGATCAATTGACATGGAATGATTCCTGTGAGTACTCATAATCAATAAAAATAATCCACAGAATTGTTCGGTCATTGTTGATCTTAACCAGGTTTTTACTCCATACAAGGTGATGAATACCCACTCTATTATAAAAATGAGTGAATGGCATAGCAAGGAAAATATTACTTTGGAATTTATTTTAGAAGAGTTACCAAAACAAGTTAAATATAATTCATTGTAATCCAAGATTTTATACAAAGAAGGATGAACATTCAAAAATTTGGGAAAAGGGAACAGTTGCCCATTAAACTACTTGATACAACTTCAAATTATACATACATATTCTAATGCAAATCCAAATTTCCTGATTTTCATTTTTCAAATATACTACTTCAATCTTTGCAAACTTTCATTTATAAATAATTTGTTCTGACAGAACCATTATTATTGTAGTGACCTAAGCAGTAATATCCTGATCTCACTGAACAGATGTCAAGTTTAAGTACTTAATGTTGCATAAACAAGATATTTATTGAGTTTAAATATTGTTAAGAGTTTTCATGAATTTCATTATGTAGTTTTTCCAAAATGATCTTAAAATAATCCAAAAATTAGATATAATAATGAATATAATATTGTCAAAGAGGCAAGTTTTTTATGGAAGTCCACAGCCTTTAGATGCCCTACTATTGTCATAAGACAATGAGGAAACAGCAATGATGAGTAAGAATGCAAGCCTATCATTTAAATATTGACTGAAAGGCCTTTGAACATTCCTAATGAATATATTTCAAAGAACCAATATTAATTCTGAGTTATTAGTCCTGTTTCTTATTCTTTCCTCTACAATGCTCCTGAAGAATGTCTAAATGTATTCAAATATCATTTTTCTGTATGAAAATGTTGCATAAGGAAGATATTCATTGAGTTTAAATATTGTTAAGAGTTTTCATGAATTTCATCACGTAGTTTTTCCAAAATGATCTTAAAATAATCCAAAAATTAGATATAATAATGAATATAATATTGTCAAAGGTGAAAGTTGTGGATCACTTCAAAAAGAGCATTATAAAACAAAAATGTCCATAAACCACTTCATAAATCTGTCAGATATAATGAATATAATGAATATTTTTATTGTATTAATTCAGGTAAAGGGGAATATTTCAAAACAAAATTAAATATTTATTATGCTCTAATTTTAAATTACAACACCCTGTACATTGCATTTGTGTCACATAAAACTGAAATAATAATTACATATTTTATCTTTGTACAAAGAACATATAAATATGGTTATGGAAATATGGAAATATTATAAAACTCATTTCTTGCCACCTCATCCATTAATAATAGCTTGACAGAAACTAAATTTCTGAATTACACCAACTTTTTGGTCCAAGAGGTTTCCTCATGTACATTTTAGAATTGGGCGCCCAAACATTAATAAATCAACAATGGACTCAACAATAATTTTTGTATATTTTTTCTTCTTCTTTTTTTAGAACTATTTTTCTCAAATCAAGACATTGTACATAATATAAACATCTACGTACACACACACACACACACACACACACACACACACACACGGTAAAACCCCGCTTTTACGTTCAGTGTTTATAGGTATTTATATTTTCCCTTCATTTCATTCTTTTCCCTTCAACTTTTTCTTCAGGCCCCTTCAATTCCCTTATGTTCACAATGTAAAATTCTATTTTTTACACTTTTCGAAAATAATTTCTTCCGCCCCCTTACACTTTTGACCGTGCCTGCGCAAACCGCAAACGCAAAGGATAATGATGATGGTCTTGTGGAATGTGTGATGATGGAAAGGCTGATGGTTTTGTGTGTTTATTCCCACCAAGAAATAGAAATACTTTACTGTGCTTAGGAACAGTCAGAATTACTTCATATTGTCCCGGGAGTGCTCTGAGCTAGGCGTCATTGCATAAGGTTGCTGTTTGTATGAATTTTCGAAATGTAAATGTTGTTATATATATATATATATATAT